TATCGCGTCCGACTAGCGGTGAAAAATAGAGGAACAACAACATGCGAGTGACCATACTAAGCCAGTCAGCCAGCTTCAACCGGCTTAAACTAGAGATGAGCTTAATAGCGACTTTTAAGTCATCGGTATACCGGGGACAGCGACCAGATGGTCGCTGGTTACTTTTAGCAGCGACTCAAGTCACCGGGACCATCCGTCGGGGTATACCAAATACCGCTTTTCTTCATCCGATTCCGTTTGCAGCTTGAGCTAGGAGCCGAGACGGTGACCGGGCGTATACAGGGTGAGTTTTCTACGATGTTCTCTATGGGTATCTCGAAACTACTAGAGAGAGTCCGTTAAATGGGAAAAGAATTGCAGTTTTGTGGGGTCATAAATATGGGCCTTTCAGATTTGTGAAAAAGTTCATGGCTTATTAGATATTTCGAAAAAAACAAATTTCGGATATTTTAAAAATGGTCCCTAATTCCATTATAATCTATTTTTAAACAAAAAGTTTTCAGATAAAAGTTGTAAATAATCACATCCTTAATGAGGCTATGTTCTCCGTTTTTTTTTTAAATGGAAACCATAGTTGCGCCATTTTTCAAGCTTTTCAGCTATAATATGTTTTATCCGAAAAATTACTGAGTTATAGCCAATTCTTATCTTTCTTGACTAATTGCACTTAGTTGGCTTGGTATTCTTATTCTGTTATTTATTTAATTATTATAATTTATAAAAAAAGACAGAATATTTTATTAAACGGTTTTTTACAATTTACATTACACAAACTAAAACTTAAACAAATAATATCCCTACATACACTTTAAGTTATTTTAGAAAATGTTCAAAAAATATACCGCATAAAAAAATCTAAAATGGATAGGTCAGGTGATCGACCTCTTCTTATCCCTGAGTTTCAATATTATATTATATATAAATAATTGTTAACATTTCTTTCATGATGGGGGAGTGTCATAATAAAAATCATGTTGGAATCACTCTATTGGTGCGCGAGTCTCTAAATTTAACTTTTCTAACATGTCTGGAAAAGCGTTCTCTAAAAAGCGTATGTAACGTATCCTCGAAAATGTATGGCCAAGAAAAGTTAAACCAATATTCCTACACACTTTTCTTCATTTGAAAAATTCATATTTACAGTTTTTGGTTATTTTAATTAATGTTTGGATGTGACAGTTTGACATTTTTGAAAGCAACGACGATTATACTTGTTTCCATGGCTAACTAAGTGAAATTGTTTAAAAATGATAAGAATTGGCTATAACTCAGTAATTTTTCGAAAGAAAAACATATTATAGCTTATATCGCTGAAAAGCTTAAAAAATGGCGCTTTTTATGAAGTCATGGCCAACTATGGTTTCCATTTAAAAAAACATATATTAGTTATATGTCAAAAATGACAGGCTTTATTAGAAAACGGAGAACATAGTCTCATTAAGGATGTGATTATCTACAACTTTTATCTCAAAACTTTTTGTCTAAAATAGATTATAATGGAATTAGGGACAATTTTTAAAATAGCCGAAATTTGTTTTTTTCGAAATATCTAGTAAGCCATGACTTATACCATGACTTAAGCATATTTATGACCCCACAAAACTGCAATTCTTTCCCCATTTAGCCAACTCTCTATCTTCAGTAGTTTCCGAGATACCCATAGAGAACATCGTATAAAACTCACCCCGTGGATATGTGTGCCAGCGATCACTGAATACTTTTTACTTCTACCAGCGACCGAAGTCGCTGGATAAATTAGCTCAATCGATACGCCACTATACGTCTATTAAATAGTTGCGATGTTTATTATTGTCGAAAAGAAAAAAAGTAAAAAAAGGGAGTAGTTGTAATAAAAGTGTGACAGAAAAAAACGTGAACGAATTATTAGTTTTTATTAACTATAATTATTTAAATACACAAATTACGAAATATTATGTCTAAAATAATATTTGAATTATGTTCATCACAAAAACCAAAGATTGAATGTTTTAGATTCCATTTCTTTTTGTCTAGTCAAATAAACGTATACTATGTTCCTTTGGGAAGCTTATTTAATATTTAATATGACTATTTATGGTAATAGATTAATTTTAAATTTATATCCCGTTACGAGAGCCGCTCAAATATACTTGTTTCCCACATAATAAGCGTTGATTTTAATAGGCATCACTTTCAATTAATTACGGAAAGATACATACATTTTACTGAATGTCAGGTATGAACAGAGGATGTTTTTTTATTTAACAATATCCGAACAAGTTCCGTATACAATAATAATAATCTTTATTCATTTAAAATCACAAGTATACAAAATTTTACGAAAAAATATGTTTTCTGACTATTACATAGTTATACAATTAAATTTGTTAGTTAAACAATTTTGCAATTGATAATTAAATGTATACTAATGTATTACATTTTATATGATTCCAATAGTAAGTTGTGATTTCCAAAATTATTACAAAAATTCGCAGTACTTCTAAAAACGGTATCTTGGGAAACCATGTATACTATGCTCACTTGCCAATAAGAATTTCTAAGTTTTACTACTGTTGTTGCTATTAAATTTCTGTTTTGATCGACGAGAAATATCGTACCTAAGCCGCGTTTTGTGTAAAGATATACCGGCACATAAATTCTTCCCGAACTTTTTATGATTTCTACTCACGTCGCCGATACGTTTGACAGATGAAAATGCATTCGACGACGCTGCAGATGGTGCTACGAACGCTATTTCTTCCTTTTTATTTGGGAATTTTCTTGTACGATGCAACAAAAATCAGAAACGTACGAATGTTTGTGACGTATAGTAGCTATTGGAAAATTGCAGTGCGATTTGCCGGTATAGTATTGGCTGATTTGAGAGCAGATGAGAATATAAACGCAATTTGATATATCAAGGAGAATCAGGAATAAATATGTTGATTTCTTTTTGGTTGGATTGATAAGGAAGATTTTTTTTTCTTATGAATTTTATAATTCGTTAACAAAAAATCATTATGATACGCGCAACCTTTGGTTTGATTTTTGATGACGAGTAATGATTTTTTGTTAACGAGTTATAAAATTCATAAGAAAAAAGAAATGTGACTTAAAATAATGAAATTTCAACCTTTAATACCTTTCGAACGGCGAGGTTTACAAAAAAATTGTAAGAGACCTTTTTTGTAGAGAATTCACTTTCTTTTTCTTTCTAATAATAAAGAAAAAATAGAAAACTGAAAGGTGGAGGACCTTCCTATTAAAATTAAGAGCTCATACTTGGGGAGAATTTTTTCATAACCAACCTTTCTTTCGGAGCATAAAGTGAAAAAAAATAGTCAAAAAGACCCACCCTACTGTACAGGGTGGGCCAAATTGGACGCTTTTAAGGAGAAACGCCCTTTTCTATATAGGAGATAGACGAAAACTAATATCGGTGTCTGCAGCTCAATTTTTATGAAAAACATGATGGTAAAAACTTCACATCGATATCTGTTACCGTTTCGGAGTTACGGGGTGTTTTTCAAAAATGTGCATTTTTAATAAATCGCTCTAACTTTTTTGCTGTGGAAAATTTTGTATTTCTATGAAAACATTTCCAAAGCACCTTTTTACGTAGAATTTAAAGGTTTAAGTATAATTTATTTAAAATTGATAATTTAAGAATTATGAGCAAGAACATTGATTTTTTATCCGAGACACCCTGTATAGTTTTATTTCATTGCAAATAATTTAAAATTATCTTTCAAAAATATAGCAGACTTAATATTTTGCTCGATTCCTCTTCGAGATACAGAGTTTATAAAAATTCGCCCACTTTGAATAAGTAGGCTTTGAACGGCGCGGCGCCAGCTGTAATGCCAAAAAAATTCTAGCTGGGAGCAATTAAAACGAAAATAATATTTGCAATGAGAAATTTTATAACAATTTAAACTATATTTAACAACATCAACACATTTAAACTATATCTAATAACAATAAAAATGAATAGCAAACCAAGACATGAGATTTTGCTACAGGTGTTTCACATATCGACCGTGTTCTGTTATAGACAGACCGGACCGTTTTTGAACATTTCTCGCGAAATTCATTAACTCAGTGGGGGCGAAAGATACCCTCGCATAGCCATTAAGTACTTCTGGTCTATATTATATGGGCAATTTAGAAATAAGAATCTTTATTCTTCCGCAAAGATAAAAATCCATAGGCATTAAGTCCGGCGGCCTCGACGGCCAACGGCTGGGATCTTGGTTAGATATTTAATTATTCTCAAAATTGGTTGCAAACATTTGCTGATAACTTCAGAGTTCTGAGGCGGTGCCTCGTCTTGCTGAAAAAATATGTTTTCGAGTTCCATTAGGGGCAGATCATCAATAAGGGGTCCAAAGCCTACTAGATAAAAGTGACAAACTTTTAAAACTTTTGTCTTTCGAAGGGGACTATAACAAAATATCAAGTGTGCTATATTTTTGGAAAGGTAATTTGAAGTTCTTTACAGTTAATTAAAAATATACAGGGTGTCCCAAATAAAAAAAACAATTTTTCTGTCGATAACTCTTAAATTATTAATTTTTAAAAAATTATATTTAAACCATTAAATTCTACGTAAAAAGGTGCTTTGGAAATGTTTTCATAGAAATACAAAATTTTCCATAGCAAAAAAGTTACAGCGATTTGTTATAAATGTACATTTTTGAAAAACACCCCGTAACTCCGAAACGGTAACAGATATTGATGTGCGGTTTTCACCATCATGTTTTTGATGAAAATTGAGCTCCAGACACCGATATTAGTTTTCGTCTATCTCCTATAGAAATAGGTGTTTCCATTTAAAAGCGTCGAATTTGACCCACCCTGTACATGTTTGCCTCAAATTAATAAGCAACAAGGAGTCACACTCTGGACAATAATAAGATTCCCTACCCTAATATTTCTTTAAAATAAAGTACCTTCACCTTACGGCGCAAAGTCGAGACAACAAAAAGGACACCGCTCGCAGTGCTGTCCATAAATCTTACCTTGGAGGCCCCGCTGTCCTTCAGCTTGAGATCGCCCTCTAGTAACAAATGGCGCTTTCTTTCCGGCGGACAGGCCAGCATAGGCCGCGTGAGGTCGAGCTGCGTCAACGACTTCTCCTTTTTCAGGATGCGCTCGATGTCGTCGTCCTTTGACTCCTGCAACAGGACAAAAATGGTTAGGAATAAATGAGAGGAGTTAAAAAAGGAAATTCAGAAATTTGGAATTAGAAATTTTTAAAAAAAATGTTGGAGGAACCAATTTTTCTTCGAAAACAATTAACTGAAGTTTAGAAGTGGCGAACGTTCTTCTATCGGCGAAAAACCCAGAAGTCTTACAAGAAATTTATCTTTGGTCTAGACCAGTTGTTCTTTTATTATACAAAATATATACAGAGTGATCCGAACTGTATTCCGGAAACTTTTGCAGCATATCCTGCAGATGCAATATGCTTTAATGCGCAAGTCAACCCAAACAGTTCTCAATTTGCACCATGTACCGAAATTACCCTTCTGAAATCGTATCTAAACGATCTCAAGGTAGGTTGGTACGCAAATTTAATAGGATCGTCCGATAACCGTCAAATCTTGGTTGGAGCACATTTGAATTACTGCGCACGAGCGTGATCGTTCGGTGACGGTTCTGCGGCGGGTTGGAACAAACCTCTTGTTAACATGTTCAATTTATGTGAATGATAGGTATTGATAATTTCGAATTCCAAATATCTCGAGAACCATTACTCGGCGGTGATTTTTACCAAAAGACCTTTTTTATGTAAAAAAACGCCGCGTATGTATATTTTTTTACTCAGTAGCTTTATACAGGTACGGACAAAAAGTTATTACTCTTAGGTGGCTCCCTCTATAAGTAGGAGTCATATTGACATCAAAATTAAATTTATCATGTCAAAAAACTCCCAGACACCAATTTTCATACAAATATTGACGATACTTCATAAATTATAAAAATAGAAATAAAAATGAAACTTCTATACCTTGTATCTCCGAAACTAAGCATTTTAAGACATACATTTACACGATCTTTTTTACTTATTTTTATTTGCAGAATATGTTGCCAAAGTCTCCGGAATACAGTTTGGACCTCCCTGTATAATATTTAATATTTTGTTAAAAATTGCTGGTTTAGAGTTTGAAAACTCTACTATCTATCTTCAAAGGTAATTAAAAAACTTTCATCTTTATAAAATTTTGAAGTATCGTAATTTGAAAATGCGGAATATAAGAAAGTTTTCCACTACACGAATAATATTTCTAACTCATAACACTACTAAGAACTTTGAAACACGTTCAGCATTTTGATTTTAAACTTTTAAAAGTATATTTTATCATTATTAATTTTTAATCTATGAAATAATTTATCTATAAATTGCGTAAAAAATCACCGAAATCGGCTAAAGCTTGATTTTCATGCGTCCGTTATCCGTTGATGTGATGGTCCAAATTTAATCTAACCTTAATAAAAATATTATAGTACAAGAGCTAGCAACGTCGGGAAAACGGAAATTTTAAGAAAGCTGGTTCTTTAATACTTATATCTTTTACTATCTGGCTGCCGGTCGACAACTGCTCATCACATCTGTACAGGGTATCCCATTTTCTGTCCGTTTTATGGTATTTCTCGTTTATGAGTAGAGATAGAATGATGCGATTTTCACATTATTTAGCTACTTTTTTATGAAATTAAATATGCTACACATATGTTTGTCCTAGCCTCCTTATTCCTGAAATACAGGGCGAATTTGTGAAGCGCAGTAGTGAACAGATGTTGAATGCAGATATGGATGCGCAGTAGTGAACGCAACGTCTATCGGCAGCCAGACGGTCCGCACTCTGTCCAGGGGACAGAGGAGCATAACAAAATATTTATTAAAGAACCAGCTTTCTTAAAATTCTCTCTCGAAAATGTTGCTAGCTCTTAGATTATAAGTAAAACAGCAAAATCATTATAGAAATGAAAATATAAAATGACACCAATCGTAAGTAAATCGTACATCCGATGAACATTTAAAAACTGCCTAATTATCTAACCAATCGAAGTCTTTAAATTCATCCAATAAAATTAATATCGTATCATCGTATCGTCGGATACCGGATGCATAAAAATCAAGCTTTACTAGAATAAAATATATTTTACTTTAAAATACATCAAAATTTTAAGGTGCCTGTTTTTCGTGCCGGTGAGTGTATTTATAACTTAATAAATTTTAATATTTTTAAATATAGACGTGGATTTTTTATTTGACTGTTTAAATGTAATGCAATGTGCAAAGTATATATTTTTTTTCCATAGCAACTGTTAAAATTGCCTTATATCTATCAAAAATAGTAGATAAAATAGTACTTTAACCTCAAGGGTAGATTAAATGATACTTTAACAGCGAGGATAGGTTAAAAACTTTATTTCTTCTCGCACGTTTTTTAATTGCTTTCATTTTTGAAAATTTTTGTATTCCTTTTCATAAGTTATTCGGGATTTAAATGGAAGTAGTTTGGATATGGCGCTTTTCGCCTCAATATTTGTTGCTAGGGAATGCAATCCCGCACCAAAATCTCAATCCCGCAAACCCGCGGGATTAAAGCAGTCAATCCCGCGGATCCGCAAAATTGCGGGACCGTAAACAATAGTCATACATTTGGTCCTAAATGGTACAAAAAGCATGGTACATTTTGCATAGACCCACAACATATTGATATAGCGTGTATCTTAAACTAGCTGTACAGAAATTTGGACCGATGTATACAGGGTGTTCAAAAAATATATTTAATATTAAATAAACTTAAATTTTATTATAATTTATCTACTTACTTTATAAATAAAAATATTATTCTGATGTTGAAGTTTTTTTTAACTTGTGTTGGTTATCTGCTTTTAGATACACTCTGTATCAATCATTTTTTGGCATATGCAGAATGTACAAAGCTTTTTGTACCATTTAGGACCATACGTATACCTAATGAATATTTTTAAAAAAAACGTCGTATTTTTCTTAAAACAAAAAATTAAAAAACCTATCAAATTGTTTCTTTCTAATTTCAATACAGATTCGTCGTACTTGGTAAAAATTTAGATTTTTTAAAAATTGTAAATTTGCGGTTAAAAAGATTCTTAACCAAATTTTCACACTCTTATAAAAGACCCTGTATACGAGAATTCGCTAAATATATTTTCGAAAACCATATAGAATCTTAATCACAATAGATGCATCTAAGACCTGGTCCAAACCGCATCCCAAAATCTTTTTTAGTTCAAGAGATACATATTCAACTTTAAATTTACCCTAAAATTTTGCTTGTCCCGATAATTACATATGTCCGGCAGTTTATTTGACGAAATTGTCCACAGGTACTAGTTAAACGCTTTTCTTCACTTACGCACATACGCCAGAAAGAAATCTAACAAGTAAGCTGTTTGTTTCACTTATTTTTAATGGCCAAGCCGTAAGGGGAACCCCCGGGTTCCGACCGTCGACGCATCGGCCCGGAACGAAACGGTTTGACCCTGATCGAGATCGATTCAGTTACCCAGTAGTAATGGGTCAATCCCGCGAATCCCGCACGGTAAATCCCGCAACTTTGATCTCGCGGAATCTCAGCATTTGCGGGATTGCATTCCCTATTTGTTGCTAATTTACTTATTTCGTTTTGAGCCACTTTCGGCTCGAATTCAATCAGCAATCGACACGAAAGAGAATTAAAAAATATTGACTCAAAACTGACAACTAAAGAGACAGCTTTATTTATTTGTCAAATTACATAGAAACCAACGCCAACCCAGCACAATACTTTTTCTACTCGTAATAAATTCCTTGAAATAATAATTTCTGAATATTTTTTAAAACGTAACTCGCTATGGAAAAAAATATTTTATCGTCTTGTATAAAACATAACTATTATCACACAACTCATAAGAGTGACAATTTGTTCCTTTGATAATTAAGGAGACTTTGAAAGGCATTATCGCTAACGAGTCATTGTGGATACAAAGCCACATCGATGTCCAGCACTCAATGCGGGTCGTTAGCACTGATTGTTTTAATTAGTGAGAGGAAGTCCCTTTGCGGAGTTAGCAATTTCTGTCTTCTATTACGTCTTCACATTTTCTTAATTATTTCCACTTAACTATGTTAATATTGTTACGGATATTCAAAATGCACGATGAAACATTTGAAGAATTTATTTTTTCAATTTCTTTGTAATATTCAGGGTGGTCCGAACTGTATTCTGGAAACTTCGGCCGCATATTCTGCAGATAAAAGTAAGTAAAAAAGTTCCTCTAAATGTATGTCCTAAAATGCTTAGTTTCGAAGATACAGCAACTTTTACCCTCAAAATTTCATTCGAATCACTAAAAGTAATTGGAAGAAAACTATAATAAATTGAAATATTGTTAAGACCTTAACACCCTGTAGCTACGAAACAAAGCAGAATCGGACCTATGTTGATATAAGAAATAAATCTTATTTTTACGTGAGGAATCTCTCCACGAGAGATGGCACATGTTTTTTGAAACACCATATATATTTTGTCGAAAATATAGATATATTTTTTAGGAAATTTTATGCTCTACAAGAATCCCCGGTGTAAAAAATTGTTATCGTAAACCGTCTCAAAGTTCTGGTACTTTTAATGGAAAAATATTTGTTTACGTGTTATTTAAATGGCAAACTTTGAATGTTCACCGACACCTTTTAAAATTGAGCTAAAAATCCGGCCTTCCGGGGATATTTTTTTCTCGGTTATTAAGTTCATTTTAACCCATAAATTTCATAGGTTAGTTTTTTTGGCTCACCTTAATGTAGAATTATAATTACTCATTAAACTTAAAACATCAAAAAAGCGTATTTTATTAAAATACTAATATTTCAACGCTGTTTCACAAAGAACCAACCACATATTTAGTATTATTTATTGTCAACAGATAAATATCATATTCTTCTAAATAGAAGTAAGAGTTTTTCAGCACCACTATGCTAATGTACCGTCGATATCGAATCCGATGGAAAATCTCTTCTGATAATTTCTGGCGGATCCGGCAAGAGTTCCAATTGGGGATGGGGGAAATCCCGCCGTGCCATTTTGCGATTTTCCTTTTAATGTAGTTCGTCGTAGCGCCGGCAATTTCCGCAGTCGACGGAGCACGATAAGCGATGGAACTTTTAATGCGAAAGAAAATTTGCCGAGTTTTAGTTTTAATTAACCGGCATACCTTTGCGAGGATTCCCACTAAATAACTCGGCTTTATTTTATAAGCATTGTGAGTAATTTTACTATTAAACGTACTACATTGTTGTAGGATAGAAATGACGAAAGTGGAAACGGGTGGAGCTATTCAAAGTTGGCGCTTTTCGGGAAAATGGGAAATATAAATGTAAATATGGTTGATGGATTCTAAAGCTTGATTCAAACCATTAACGAATTAATGCAATAAATTAGTGGTTTCAAATAGTGTTGAAGTTTGTTCCTCTAATTTCAATGTAAAGATTCATGCAGAACCTCGCACTTAGTGAAATCAATTAGTGGTTTCAATTACACTTTATACTTTTAGTTTACGATCATTCACAATGTTTAAAAAAAACAATTAAAATTAATAGAGTATCCTACCAACCATAGAGAAAGCCTAACATTTAGCTTATAAAACAAACAACTTTTGTTTTCTAACCACAATTTTTCTTGATGGAAGATAATCAAAGGCCAAAATAACATTTCTCACAAATTTTGAAGTATAATTAATGGAAAAGTTAAAAGTTTGATAACTTTTTTTACTAATTGAAAATGTCTACCACTAATTTCTACGCTAAATTGAAACCACTTATTTATTCCACTATGTCATAGCGAGGTTCTGAATGAAGCTTAAGCATTCGTACATTTATTAAGAAAAACGAAACTTGCAGTGTACCTAGCAATAATAATCCCCACCATGTTATATGGAAGTGAAACCTGGGTGCCGCAGCCGTACCGCCGACACATGAACGTATTAAACAAGTTGCATCAGAGACACCTTAGACAACTGTTAAGAATAAAATGGTACCACCATGTGTCAAACGTATCAGTCCTTGAAAAAGCTAGCTGCAACAGCGCGAAAGTCATGACTACTAAATCCCGATTAAGATGGGCTGGTCACGTATGCAAGGTACAAGACTATTTTCCACAAAAATTTAAAGGGGATAAGCATGCAGAATCAGTGGGAAGAAGCAGCGTATAATAGAGAGCAAAATGACTTTTTGTGCCTTGGCTGTATGACGTCAAACGTACAGCCTTGCCTTAAAAAATGTCATTTTTACTCCTAATAAAACAATATACTATTTGTATTTTACTGTTATGCCTAGGCGTTTTAACGTGGTCTTTTTATAATGTCAATCACGTCGCAAAAATTAATACTTGCGTGTCAAATACTCGTCAGCGAGTAATGGCAGTAAGTAAGTAAGTAATAACACAAGGAGGACCTTACGCACAAAGAATCCAATTTTTGAATCAGAAACCTTACGAACTAACAAGTACATTTAGAAATATTACAGAAAATACATGTTTCACAAATTACATTTAAAAAGCTCATTAAATGAATAAAAACACTTAACTCTCAGCAGTTGCCTTACTGACCTCCCAAAAGTATTCCGCTCCAGACATTTTTACTCCGAATAGAACAAGCTATTTTTTTTTCAAACGACAAAAAATAACATTAAATACAATTTGAAACGTGGCAAATAATATAAATGTGTAATAGCTTGTAAGTAATTATACAGGGTGTCTCAGATTTTAATCGGGAAAATTTAATAGACGATAGAACTTGCAAAAATAAAACAAAAAGTTCATATCAACTTGTAAGATTTAAAGCTTCCTTTTCGAGATACAGGGTACCATTAAAATACCAATTATAATATTAATTACCAATTAGAATTTATTTTTTTTTCGCAAGAAGTAAGCAAGATAGACAAAAAAGTCAGGAGACAAAAAAAATAATATTTTTAATTACTAAATCGAAAAATAATATTAAACTTCTAAAAAAGCAATGGTGTGCCTATTTTTCCTTTAAAATAATTTAACAGTGATGCCCCATCACCGCCCCTGGACATTAAACTTAAATCTAATTACATCAAATTAAGTCCCATAGTAAGTATTATAAACGGGTCAATTTATATGAAAATCGATTAAATAGTTTTTTCAAATATCTTTTTTTTTCTTTTTTAAGTAACTTTAATACCCTGTATCTCGAAAAGGAAGATTTAAATCCTACAAGTTGATATGAACTTGTTTTATTTTTGCAAGTTCTATCGTCTATTAAATTTTCCCGATTAAAATCTGAAACACCCTGTATATCGAGCAACAATGAACGTACTCGTTGAAATTGACAATTAATGTCAGTTTAATAATATTTTTTTTTTCAAACGTCACAAAAGTATTAATTTTTGCGACGTGATTAACAATATAAAATTAAATATTTATTTATTTATTACAAGGTATAACTTATAAATCTCTTTATACTATTTGGAACGTTTGAAATTGATTAAAAAAATATTCGTGGCGTTTGAGAAAAAAATAGCATGTTCTATTCGGAGCAAAATGACTTTTTGTGCCTTGGCTGTATGACGTCAAACGTACAGCCTTGCCTTAAAAAATGTAATTTTTACTCCTAATAAAACAATATACTATTTGTATTTTACTGTTATGCCTAGGCGTTTTAACGTGGTCTTTTTATAATGTCAATCACGTCGCAAAAATTAATACTTTGAAAAAAAAACTTTTCTAGTGTTATGCATAACTTAATAGTATCCGATTAACATTTATTTATAAATATGAATTAAATGAATATAGAACGAAATTTAACAACTCCAACTTCCTAAAACTTCTTCCGATCTTCTAGTACAATGTTTTTAATTAACCGCGGACAATAAAACACGTTCTAATGTACCGGGGGCAATAAATTTCGAAATTACAAAAGTTAGAACCGACTCGCTGGCCGAAAGGGCCGAGCCGGCTCGCTGGCTGTATTTCTAACGAGATTTATCGACTTACCACAATGTCATAACTTTCGATTCTGGCGATGATCCCCTTTAATCTCTCCTTGTCTTGGCGATGCTTTAAGCTCGAATTGACGTTATTAACGAAGTCGTCCACCATTTTTATCTGGAAAAGAAAAGAGATAGTTTGAGACAATTTCTCATCAGTTATTACTACAGTCCCCGGCATGAAAAACGGGCACCTTTTATTGCTAATGTATTTTAAAGTCTAATATATAGGGTGGTCCCGTTAAAAGCCTAATATACAACTGTATTCCGGAAACTTCGGCGGCATGATCTGGAGATAAAAATAAGCAAAAAAATCGTATAAATATATGTCTTAAAATGCTTAGTTTCGGAGATACAATATGTAGAAGTTTCATTTTTATTTCAATTTTTTCTAAATAATTTCTGAAGTAACGTGAATATTTGGATGAAAATTGGTGTCTGGAAGTTTTTTGACAAGAGAAATTTGATTTTGATGTCAATATGACTCTTACTTGTAGAGGGCGCCACCTACATATTTTTTAATTGGTTTGAAGAGCAATTTCGAAGAGACTTTTCATCCGAACCTGCATAAAACTACTGAGTAAAAAATAAACATTTACGACATGTTTTATGTAAAAAAGGTCTCTTGGTAAAAATCGCTTTGAGTAATGATTCTCGAGATATTTGGAATCGAAATTATTAATACCTGTCATCATTGACATAAATTAAACATGTTGACTAAATGGTTTTTCTTCTTCTTAGGTCGTCTTCTCCCTTCTCCAGAGGTTGATCCAGGTACTTGAACCAACTTATCAGATCCTTAAGCCAGAAGTTTTGCCTTCTTCCCACTGATCTCTTGCCCTCAATTTTGACTTCAATGGCCAGTCTGAGCACCTCGTATCGTTCACCGCTCATGATGTGACCGACATACTGTTACATCCTTTTCTTCACTGATAACTAAATAGTTATTAGACTGAAATCATCAATTTGAAATGTTATTGTGTCAAAAGTTCAACAGAAACTGTTTTATCTTCATTTTTTCGAAGAAAAATTTATGATTAATTAAAAAAAAGTTCCCAAATTTATCATTTCAGTCAAATAACTATCCACTAACTTTTTTGTCAATAATGACATGTATTGACTATTTCCATTCTAAATATTTTGAGAATGGTTGCTCGTAGCGATTTTTACCAAGAGACATTTTTTACGTAAAAAATAACGTAAATGTATATTTTCACTCAGTATTTTTAGACAGATACGAACGAAAAGTTATTACTTTTCAAAACATTTAAAACACATGTAGGTGGCGCCCCCTATAAATAGGAGTCATATTAATAAATTTCTCCCGTCAAAAAACTCCCAGACACCAATTTTCATCTAAATATTGACGTTACTTAGATTATTTGAAAAAAATTGAAATAAAAATTGAAACTCCGAAACTAAGCATTTTAAAACATCTGAAGAATATGCTGCCGAAGTTTCCGGAATACACTTCGGACCACCCTGTATTTTGTTCTAGTGGGTCGATTTTGATGATTTTTTAAGCAATTTGTAGATAAATTTTGACTTTTTAACCTCTCTTTAAATTAAAAATTCCCATCTGTCAATTATTATACGGGGGAAAACAAAATGTTGACATTTTGGTAAAAGTTTGAAACACTCTGGGGAATATGTCACCAAAGCAAGGAATTTAAAAATCTATTTTATTATTTGGTTCATCTCAATAGCTTTATTTGAAAGTCTCTTACAAAAATACCTATCCACATTGATCATTATAAATATTAAAAACTTTTTAGTAACATTATAAAACTTCTTTCAAAAGTTAGTTACCTAAGTAAAATTGTTAAGGTAATTATTATTCATAGCTTACTGAGATACGATGGTAATTTGCCTGAAAGTTACCTCTTTATGAATAATAATTAAAACAGTGTAAACAATCTTCATTCCCTTAAACATTTTTCAACCTTATTCCAAATAAAGTTTAAAATTTCCGTAAACAATATGTTTTAATTTACAAAATTTCGAAATCATAAAAGTTAAAATTTACATCAATTCTGAGAGCGTAAATATTGTTGTTTCTTTACTAAATATGAATTAAAACAAGAAGAATTGCAAGATAAATTTTAAACTAAAAATATTTGTTACCTACTCAATATTAATTAATGATTATGTAGAAATTGTAGGCAATTCGTTATATTAAAATTAACTAACTAATACACATCAAAAGACAGAACAAATATTAGTTCGAAATAGGAACTGCATGGAACAGTTGGCAATTTGAACAAAACAAGCATAAACAGGTCAAAGTTCGTTTCCGTTGAAACTTTCAAGGATATAACTTTCAAGGAACTTACTGCAATCTGTATTAGTCTAAAATTTTAGTAAATATCAAAGTTGACGAAAACTAAAAATGAAAATGTAGACTGGAAGTTCAGAGACTAATTATCTAGACAATTATTCGATTCCTGATTGTATGGTTTCTGTAATAACAACAATATACGCATTAAGGTTTGTACAGGTATAGGGTGTCCCATTTTCGTTAGTTTAATGGGGTTACTCGTTTATGAATACAAAGAGAGATACAAAGATGCGGTTTTCATATTACTGTGCGATTTTCCAATGAAACCTAGCTTTCTTAGTTCCTGAAATACAGGGTAAATTTTTAAAATGTTGCATATTTGGAACCTTCTTCCTGTATCTTGGTTATCTTAATAAAAATGCGAAAACTGTAACTAGTTTTTAGCTGGAAGCTGTCATTTTCGAAATATGACTCAAACTATTGTTTTTTCAAATGGGAGACCATGTATATTATTCTTTTATTTTATTTGCTTTATCATGACCTTTCAATAAGAACATACTTTATACTCTGTTTTTTTTCTCAGGTAAGATTTCGACATGACAGAAGAAAAGTAGATGACGTCCCATACCAATCTATTTATTTTACTAAAAAAAGTTTCTAATATTTTTTAAGTTAATTCTGGATGGGTTTAAATATGTGTAATAATGCGTCGTCTCTTGTTGTTTTTAACCAGTTTTATTGGTTTATTTCAAAAATGACAGATCATATTTCAATTTTATTGGTTTGACGGAACGATGAACGACAAACGGATGCCGATGCGTATGAACTCACCTTTAGATTTTTGAGGCTTGTCAAAGCCTTGCCAAATTATAGGTTATAATTTTGTCAACTTATGTCAAATATCCTGCGTTTTGGAACATGGTGCATTTTGATTTGTGTTATTACGTGTGTTTTGTGTCTTTTGAAGTCAAGTGGAGGAAAAATCGAGGAAAAATTAACTGTAGACCCAGAGCACAGGTTTATAGTTAATACTCGCCCAGGCAGAAAGTCTTATACACCAATAGAGTTACCATCAATAAAGTTTGTATACCAGCTCATCGTAGATAAGTGCATCTTGTTATGGTACAAGGATCGTTACTAACCATATACTAAAAAATGGAGTAGCTGTAAAATATCGATGTTACGGTTACGGTCCTATGTCCGGTTAATGTCGACATTAGCCGGTTAATATCGAGAATAACACACAACAAAACAACCAAAAACATAACCTAACCCAAACATTAGATGATTTATAACTGAAGAAAAGGGGACAAAATAGATCTATAAGTTAGCGGTTATTAACTTCCCCCCTCCCATAAAATCTACGTCTACATCTACATCTACCTCTTACCATAGCTTGCAAGCTTTCCCTTTCTACATCTTCTTCGGTATTTTTCAAGATGGCTTTGAGAAGGAGGCCGTATTTCGTTAGTCTTTGCATCGGCTGGACCAGAATATCCATCAACCTTAATCTGAAATTATTAAAAGAAATAAAACGTTAATTAACTTTTTTTACTAGACGTTTTTCACTAATTTAATCTTATATCTGTTTTCTAATTTTGATTTTTTAATTAAACCTTTGGAAGTTATTTAGGCAAAATTTAAGGTTGGCTTAAATTTGATTAAAGAAACAAATTGTCTGTTTCTTGGAATCCTCCTGGTTTTAAACAGATTTATATCGGGCGCAAAGAATTTTATTAAATTTAGTTTTTTGTATCTTTTTTTTACTTATATGCCGGGTGTTTTTAGAAAGTGTTCTATTTTTTCAAACAAAAAAAAAGATTTGGTATGTTAGTATATGACGTAATTCAGGATCGATTGACATATTCAATTATTTTCGGTCATTTCCTGTTTCACCGGAAATTACTATAATTTTTGACTTTTAAATGGTTCCCTCAGCATTTTTAGACTTTATCTCATAGAAAATGACATTTCGAATAGTATGACATATCATAATATGTCAACCTCTGACTTTTTGTTTAAATAATAGTATTTTAAATTTCCATTCAGATTGCAATGGCTGTGGACAATTTAACTCGAAATACTAAGCATGTGCTACCAAATTATTCATTAAAAAAATATTTTTCCAAATATGTTAATGAGCCACCCTCGTTCTATTTGAAAAAATTGAGTTATGATGATATAGTTACACGTACAGTACGTCTGTTCGTTTTGTAGCTACGGGGTATCCGTGAGAGGGGAAACGATATTCTCTCGATGTTTTTCGTAAAACATTAGACGACGCGTCCCATCAATAAAAATTCGACAAATTTGCAAGTAGCCAATAAAATGAGTGGGCGGAGCGATTTGCGGTGACGTACTCGTCAAGTCGACGTATAAAATATATTGCTGTTTATTTAAATGTTTTTTGTCCGCATTCCTTTCATAGACACCGATCCAGCAGACGTACTGTATATAATGTTATTGAAAATGTTTATCTTAAATAGTCCTACAAAATATACTAACGGTTTTTGCAGCGCAGACCAGATAACTCGCAAACGGCAGAATTTTTTCCTACTTGTTAATCACTTATCGTTATACAGGGTGGTCCGAACTGTATTCTGGTAACTTCGGCAGCATATTTTACAGATAAAAATAAGTAAAACAGTTCGTATTTCATAAAACAGTTCGTTTTCATATATGTCCTAAAATGCTTAGTTTCGGAGATACAGGGTGTAGAAGTTTCATTTATATTTCGATTTTTTCCAAATAATTTCTGAAGTAAAAAGCCAATATTTGGATGAAAATTGGTATTTGGAAGTTTTTTGATACGATAAATTTGATTTTGATGTCACCTACTTGTAGACACCTACTTGTAGAGGGCGCCACCTAAAATTGTTTTAACTGGTTTGAAGACTAATAACTTTTCGTCCGTACCTGTTCAAAACTAAGGAGTAAAAAATATATAAATATACATTTACAAAGTTTTTTACGTAAAAAAGGTCTCTTGGTAAAAATCGCTACGACTAATGGTTTTCGAGATATTTGAAGTCTAAATTATCAATACCTGTCATCATTAACAAAAGTTAAATATGTTGACTAAATAGTTATTAGACTAAAATCATAAATTTAAAATGTTTTTGTGACAAAAGTTCAATGAATTAAAGAAATTTATGATTAATTTAAAAAAATAAAAAGTTCCCAAATTTATCATTTCAGTCAAAAAACTATCTACCTATGCTATCTACTCAACATGGTTATTGTTTGTCAATAATGACATGTATTGAAAGAGACCTTTTTACGTAAATAAGGTCATAAATGTATATTTTTTTACTCAGTAGTTTTATACAGGTACAGACAAAAAGTTATTACTCTTCAAACCAGTTAAAAAAATATGTAGGTGGCGCTCTCTACAAGTTTCAAACAAAAAACTCCCAGATACCAATTTTCTTCCAAATATTGACGTTACTTCAGAAATTATTTCGAAAAAATCAAAATAAAAATGAAATTTCTACACCCTGTATCTCCGAAACTAAGCATTTTAGGACATACATTCATACTAACTTTTTTACTTATTTTTATTTGCAAAATATCCCGCCACAGTTTCCGGAATACAGTTCGGACCACCCTGTATTTTGGACAATTCACACAATAGCTTTGTTCGGGTTCTTGTTATTACCGATTCTGAACCGTCCTAGAACTCTGCAGCGCATACGCAAATGAAATGTCTTCATATTTCCTTCTGCGCATACGCATCACAGTTCTAGGACGGTTCAGAATCGGTAATAACAAGAACTCGAACAAAGCTAATATCTTCTGATACATAAGCTATATTACTGTAAAGTTTCATTAAAATCCATTCAGTAGTTTTTGTGTGAAAGAGTAACAAACATCCATACATACATACAAACTTTCGCGTTTATAATATTAGTAAGGTTATTGAAACATTTTTGTTTGTAAATTCGATAAAAGACTCTTGCATGGCATAATAAGATATAATTAATTCAAACATCGTATAACTTGAGTTTATTAATAAAATAAGAGGAAAATACGTAAAATAAACTTACCGGTTACAGTCTTTTTGACTCTCGCACCACGTTAAGTACGCCGTAAAAACTTCGCTGTCTAGATTTTCTCGGCAGTAATGTTGACATCTGCAAAACAAGTTTAATTTTTAATAGGGGATTATGCTAACCGTATAAATTATAAGTCCGTTTCTTAATAATTTAATCTCATTTTTATTACACAGTAAAAAAGCAGCAAAGAAATCCTTAAATCAAATTTAATTATATTTTTTTGGTTACAAAGAATGTAATATAATACAACTGGTAAATTAATTTTAGAGAAATAAAGTTTTTCATTTTAAAAATGAAATAAATTCAAATAAAATTCACTTGATACCCCGTTTTTTCTAAAATCTTAAGGTATAAAGTAGGGTATACCGGGAGCGTCTCATAAGTGGCTATATCTTTTATATTTTTTCAGATAAATAAACGAGATTTTGTATGTTGGTATATGACATAAATTAGGATTGATTGCTGTATTCAATTGTTTTTCGTCACTTCCTGGAAATGATGACAACTTTTGATTTTTAAATGGCACCCTCGGTATTTTTTTACTTTGTTCGATAGAAAATGACACTCTGAATAAAATGATATATCACATGTCAACTTTTGATATTTAAGCATATTATATGTAAACATGCTAATGAGCCACCCTTGCCATTTGATAAAAATGAGATATGATTAAAAATAAGATTTGGGCATCTTTTAACCAGCCAGAACAAGACACGAAAAACATTAGAGGATCAAATCTATTTTTCCAAGGCTCCTTGATTAAAAGTAAGTTTTTTTAATTCAGAGAGAGTCATGGCACTCTAGATTGAAATTTAAAATACGATGTTAATTTAAGCAAAAATGTCAAAAGTTGAATATGATATGTCATTCTATTCATTAGTGTGAGTGTCATTATTTATGAAATAAAGTAAAAATATACCAAGGGTGCCATTTAAAAATCAAAAGTTGTCATCATTTCCGGTCAAACAGGAAGTGACCAAAAAACAATTGAATACGGCAAATAAATTATAATTTATGTCATATACCAACACATCAAATCTAATTTTTTATCTGGAAAAATCGAAAAGTTATAGTGGTGAGCCACTTTTGAGACGCACCCGGTATACAGGGTAAGTTCTCCATGGGTATCTCCAAAACTAGTGGAGCTAGAGAGTCGGCCAATTTGGGAAAGAATTGCAGTTTTGTGAGATCAAATATATGGGCGCCTTTTGGATTTTTGAAAAAGATAATAGATTACTAGATATTTCGAAAAAAAACAAATTTTGGTTATTTTAAAAATGCTCCTTAATTCCATTATAATCTACTTTAGACAAAAAGTTTTTTTGCTTTTTTTTCTCCGTCTTTTTTTCTAAAGCCTGTCATTTTTGACATATACGACACAAACATATGTTTTTTTAAATGGAAACCATAATTGGCCATGACTTCATAAAAAACGCCGTTTTTAAAGCTTTTCAGTGATATAGCTATAATATGCTTTTTTCGAAAACTTACCTAGTTATAGCCAATTCTTATCTCTTTAACTTAGTTCACTTAGTTGGTATGGTATTCTTATTCTATTTTCTATTATGATTTATAATTAATAAAAAGGGAGCATATGTTATTAAACGGTTCTTTACAAATTACATTAAACAAAAAAAACTTAAATACCGTTTAAGTTATTTTAGTAAATGTTCAAAAAATCCACCAAAACAATCTCATTAAGGATGTGATTATCTACAACTTTTATCAGAAAACTTTTTGTCTAACAGCGATTATAATGGAATTAAGAAATATTTTTAAAATAGCATTTTTTTTAAATATCTAGTAAGCCATAAACTTTTTCAAAAATCCGAAAATCGCATATAATTAACATCATAAAACTGCAATTCTTTCCCCATTTGATCGACTAGATACCAAGATACCCATGGGGAACATCGTAGAACACTCACCATGTATATTACTCTTTCCCTAGCGTTTTTAATCAATGATTCCGAATAATACAGCTAGAATTCAGCATTATTATTTGAAGAGTTCAACAGTTCGACAAAGAAAAAAATATATAGGTACTTCATACCTGGATTGCTCGGCGCAGTATTTGAAGTAGGGCTGGAAAATGTCGTGGATTTTGGAGAAGCCCTCCAGCATGTTCTCGAGACAGGCGGGCCTGCGGTGCTTTCGCATGTCCCTCACTAGGGGGAACAGCGTGTTCCTCCAGAAGATTACGTTGGCTCCCAGGATTTCCGTTACGTTGGAGAACAGTTTCTCTGTGTCGATTTCCTTGAATAGGTTTTTCGATTGGAGGTCTCGAAGGCAACCGAGAAATAACTGGAAATAAGAAGGCATTATTAATGTTAATCGTTGGTTTATAATAATAAAGTCTCCTTTTAAAATATTGTAAAATTTATCTACCCTCTAGACAAGTAACAAAACAAGATAAAACAAAATAGGAAGTCCCATATAAAGATACATTTGAAAAAAAGTTAAACATAACGGGTATACATTACTGAAAGTAGTATTTTAGCAAGTCATGTATATTTGAAATCCATATTCAAATTTAAAGAACGCTCGTAATAGATTGTGTAAGTAAATTTTATTCATGGAACTGGCTTAAAAGCTTCATTTATTATTGAACATTGAAAAGGTAGTGCATGTTTCCAGCCATTTTCCAGCTGCATTAAACGTATAATACTATTTACCTTAACTTCTTTTAGACAAAGTCAATGTGTATGTTTTTAAGTATTTTTAAACTTGGGCTATAAATGAGTTTACTAATTAATAAGTAAATATCCTTTTTCTCAATTTCTGTCTTTATGAAATTTTTGGTAAAAATATTTTAAAAAGCCAAAATATAACATCCTTCAGGTAGAAATCTACGCTATCGAAAGATGCGTGCAACTTAACTTAGATAGGAACTATCGGAAACAAGAAATAACCATCTTATCTGATAGTCAGTCAGCAAAGCAATAAACTCAGTAACCGTCAATTCGGAGTTGGTCAAAGAATGTCTAGAGGAGCTGAACATTGTTAGACACTGTTTCCTCAACGAACACCTCAGTAGATTGAAGCTAAGAAACAACGGCGTAGTGGGTCTACTAATTGGTCATTGTAAGTTGAATATGCATCGAAAGCTGATGGCATTGACGAACGAACCCATGAGCAGGTATGGTCAATCTGAAGAAGAAACGATAGAACTCATTCTATAGCCTTTTATCTGTGCGATTTTTTGTACTTGGCAATGATGGTCCATTTACAAAAAGCTATATGGAGGGTTCAATCTTCAAGTTGCTAGATTTTTGGAAAAGGATAGGACTGGAGAATGTAACCTAAGGATCAGAAGAAGAATAGGACTTTCCTAGGAGATGCGAGACCTTGTTGTTGGTGGGGAAACTCCTCTTACATTATAATCATCCCCTCTTATCTCTTTACCAAAAACCTAAATCCTTGATGGTGGGGGGACACTCAAAGGGATGCGTCACTAGATAGAAGACCGGCCTCTACTGGTATCAACCATGGAGCACCAGGGTACAACCCATTGTATTATTGTCTTCTTTACTTCTACATGCGGGGCTCTGTAGAAGTGGACCGACTAACTCTTGCGGTGTATCACCAGCTTTTCTAGAACTCCAATGTAAGAACATCGATTTGACGAGTCATCAGCTTGGAGGAGGAAGGCCATAGTCAGATCCTCACAATGGGAATTGATCTAAAACTTAAGGAGGCAATAGAGAAAGAGTTATCCTATCCATATCCTCTATTATAGATCCGGGACAACACCGGTATCAGGTCTAAGGAGAGACCAAGTTAAAGAGGTGGACAAAATAGAGACAGTTTCTCCAGCCTTCACCTCAAAGGTACTTGAGCACGAAGGGGTAAATCAGGACACGAAGGGGTAAACCTCAACCGGGGAAGGGTGTATACCCTCGTAGGAGGCAGATGTCCACTCCTTGGAGGATTAACAGCTGTTGTCAGAGAAGGATGGAAAATACCCTGTCCCCTCGACAACAGGAGGATCCCCATGTATGATGAGTTATAGACTGTATGATGAGATATAACTCAAGAGAGGAGAACACAATAGATCTTTAAGGTCACGGTGATTCAAATAATTTTATGAATAATAAAATTATTCATAAAAATTGACAAACGAAATATAAAAATTCTCTGTTACATATTTTATTAAATTTTATTTAATATTATTTGTAATAAAAGTCAATTGAGTTCTTCATAATAAACCAATCATCCTCATTAAATAAAATTAAATAAATAATTCGAATTCTCCTGAAACAATTCCTGAATGAAACGGCAAATTTATTTGCCAAGATATTCAATTATACCATTCTTATTAACTTCTTCCTTAATAATTTTATTTTCTCGACACAGAAATAGAAATTCCAACTTGACAAAACTAAATTTGTTTCGTTATATTGTCCAAATCAACTTGAAAAGAGCCGACCAGACAGCACGAAATTTAGACAGACAAAAAAAACTATTACAGTTTTTCCATTGAATGGGAAAAAATGTCAGCTGGAAATGCAATTTTCTTAGAAACTCGTCTGCATTTGCATGCTGAGTCAGCGGATGGCTGTTCATTTCGCTTTGAGTCAGTTCAATCGCTTTTTTGATTGAAACCGTGAAATAGATAGCAGCGGAGTTTCTATATTGTTCTACATTAAAAGGCACGTTCTATTTTAATTTAGTCTTGCTTTATACGGTTTTACAGTTTTTTACTTTTTGTTAGTTAAGCGATTTTGTTCTGTAACTGTTACTTTATTTGTATTTTTTGTTTTAAATTTAGCAAATTATGCAATTTATGCCATCCATAGCACAAAATTTTTGTCTTTCTTTGATAAGACTTTACAACTTCCAAGCACACAGATTTAAAGAAAAAACATGTAAGATGAAAATTAATTAACTTACAAATAAAGAAATATGGTATTGTTAAACTGAATTTAAAAACCGAGAACTGATGTATATGATTTTTCAATTTTAAGATATGCTATTATGAATACTTTATACAGAAATTCAGACAAAAAAAGTAGATTCGATATGTTAGTATATGATATAAATCAGGATTGATTGACGTATTCAATTAGTTTCGATCATTTCCTGTTTCACCGAAAATTATTACGACTTTTGATTTTTAAATGGTACCTTGGTTAATTTTTTTTATTCAGTAGAAAATTATATTTTGAATAGAATGATATATTATTTTGTCGGTGAAATGTGTTGAACTGCCGAGTCCATTATAAAAAATGTCTATACCTATGTGGCGGATTCATCTCTCCAAAAAAATCCTTTAATCAATTAATTAATTAATTTATTTATTTTTTCTTTATTTCTTATCTTTTTTTTTACATCTAATCACAGTATAAGTGTAAAAAAGGCATTATAAAAAGTTTATATGAGAGGGCAAATATAATATGTACAGACGACATTTCACTAAACAGAGATATAAACCACATAAAAAATACATTAATAAAAAACGACTATTCACCATATTTTATTGACAAAACATAACCCCAAATCATAGACACAATGATAACAATACATAATATATACAACTTACAATTCCATACATATGAGGCGTTTCGGAAAAAATAAGAAGGATAGGAAAATAATATAACATACGAACATCTTTCAAAACACAAAACACACTTAGATCCATTTTATCACATACTAAACCAATGAATGTAGAACAACAAACAAAAAATGTAATATACCAAATACCCTGTGAATGCGATAAATTTTACATTGGTGAAACATCTAGACCTTTAAATGTTAGAATTAAAGAACATAAAGATTATTTAAATTTTCACAAATCTAAGATTTGTTTTTCATTCATGGGACACAGGGCACAGCATAAATTTTAATAACGCCAAAATTATAATGAAAGAAGCGATAGCCTCTAAAAGAAAAATAAAAGAGGCTTTTTTAAATCAATCTAATAAAAATAAATTATTGCTCATGCATCTGTAGATGTTAGTAATCGCTTCTTTGATTTTAAAGAACATAATGTAATTGTTATCAGGTAGTAATTGTTAATTTTGAAGTTTAACTTTTGATATAATGTCATTTTAACAGAACGTCAACGGTTTTCTTGTAGACGTATCTGTTTTAAAAAAGTAAAGTGTTCTCGAATAGTTGAATTTAAATATTTTAAATAGTTTTTTTCTTTATTCTTTGTATGTTTTTGCTTCCGACGACGGAAAGAGATAACTTTCCGAAACGTTAAGCATTTTTTTCTTTGTTAGGCAAATTTGTATTACTGTAAACATAACTTCTGACAAGCAGCGTCCGTTTAGGTTTAACGCAGAAGTGTTTACAAAAAATAAATATTTTATTTTGTAGATTTTCTTGCAGTGCAGTGGCGAAATACCCATAAAGAATTTTTTTGGAGAGTCCATTATTCTTAACTTTAGAGGAGAGAAAAGAAATGGTACAAAAAATATGATCACATGTAGCAAGTGTATTCATCCGTTAATATGATAAAGTGACAATAATAAACAAATAATAATATTTGGTGGGGAACAACAAAACTCAATATTTCGTTAAAAATTTAATGTAAAAATGATTTCCAAGCCTCCTTGATTAAAATTTAGTGGCTATAAAATCGTGATCAAAACTAGTTGAATACGTCAATAAATCATAATTTATGTCATATACCAACATAACCAAATCTCTTTTTTTATATGAATAAATGAAAAAGTTATAATAGGGGTGAGCAACTTTTGAAAAGCACCCGGTATATTAGTATAAAAAATCTACATATTTTAATACTTATTTAATAAACTTCGTTTCGAAAATTTTTTTATCATACACCAATAAATTATGATGCAATAAAATCTTACATTGATTTTTAAAACAACATAAACTTGTTCCAGTACTCCATGTATGTAATGTTTGTAAACATTACTGATATGGTGTGCTTACAGAAGTCTTTGATGATATAAAATATAACAAAACGATGACCAAACAGATTTATTTTGGTTTGATTGAGACGACACTTTACGACGATGTCGTAAAGTGTCGGTGAGATATTAGTGCATCTCCCGTCAAAAGATGGTAAAGAGCGTTTTTCGGCCCGCTCAAATATATGAAATGAACAAAATTCTTACAGCTTTAGTGTATATTAATAAATAATATTTTCTTGCCTTTAGCTGTGTATTTTTTCTAATTTCGAAAAATCGAAAGTAGAGAAAAAATTAAAAAAAAATAAAAAGTAAAAAGAAAATTGTTTTGCTTGTCGTAAAGGGGGGAACCAAGCTCCACTGACGGGAGATGCACGGGAGACGCACTAATATCTCACCGACACTTTACGACATCGTCTGCAGATATAAAAGAAGTTTTGCTTGCCGTATCGGTGAGAACCAGCCCCTGGACAGCCCACCTGATGAAGGGTAGGCCCAGAAACCGGTTGTGGGAGTGGAGCTTGGTTCCCCCCTTTACGACAAGCAAAACAATTTTCTTTACTTTTATTTTTTTAAATTTTTCTCTACTTTCGATTTTTCGAAATTAGAAAAAAATACACAGCTAAAGAGCAAGAAAATATTATTTATTATATACATAAAGCTGTAAGAAGCCTATTCATTTCATATATATATATATATATATATATATATATATATATATATATATATATATATATATATATATATATCTTATAATTTAATCATTACCAACAACCATTTATCAAAAATAAGCTGTATGTTCTTCTAATTAGTTCGTTCCCTAGAGTAATCAAATAGACACGTTTGAATCAATTGAAACATAAACGTTTATTTCTATTCATTTACCGTAAAAATTAAAGTTAATTCGATATCTATATTCAGCTGATATTAATGTTTTGACTGATATGTATGAATAGTGCCGTGAAATATTTTAATTGAATGAAACTGAGATGGTACGGCAAATGTGTGAATAAAACTTAAATTAAACAAGTGCATTACAAATATGTATTTTTGTTAAATATTGTTCTATATAATTTTATTATAATTTATTAAATCTTTGTCAAAGAAATTTAGTAATCATGAATTTGAGTTTGACTAGATATCTACACTGTTGTTTACTATGACAAAATAATCCTATTACGTACGTCAAACCTGTACCCGAAAAGTTCTTAACTTTGTTGGAAAGTAACCACTGAGAAATTTGTGTTCATAGATGAATAACCTCTAAAGATGTTTTGAAGACAACTTTCCTAAGTTTGTACTATATATTAGATAAAAAGATAAACATAATTATATTGGGTACATTTAGTTAAAAACTTAATAAAAAATATGTTAACTTACGTCTGTAACTACTTTAAGGGTTTTAATATAGGCAACTTCAGTCTTGATTAACTCCCATAATGCTGTCTGTTGTTGCTGTAGTCTGTCATTTAAATCTGAAAATAAAAAAAGTAAAGTCACTTTAGAGAAAGTTACATAATTTTACAGGGCGTTTCAAAAAACATGTGCCATCTCTCGTGGGGAGATTCCTCACATAAAAATAAAATTTATTTTTCAAATCAACATAGGTCCGATTATACTTTGGTATCTACAGAGTGTTAAAGTCTTAATATTTTGTCGATTTATTATAATTTTCTTCCAAGTACTTTTAGCGTTTGGAATGAAATTTTGAGGGTAAAAGATAATACTCGTATAGATGCGACATATTTTAAAGCTAAAAAGTATCGACATATTCACCAGAAACGTGCATATGGATTATCACTGGAATATTTTTCTGAAAAAGCATGTACGCCACTGACTTTTTCCTTTTGTTAGCGAAATACTGTAAGCAGTTTAACGCCGATTAAAAGTTGTTTCTTAATGTTTTGTCTTTGATATACTTGTCTTGATGATTTCGACCTCCCTCATGAAAGGCCATTTTATTAATCAGCCTTGATCCAAGTCTAATAGCAACCTCTAAAATTTTTAATATCATTAACTTTCAAAAGTTTTAAATAAGTACTCATTGATTTCTCATTAAAAAATATGAAAAAAAGTTCCTGTAAACATGGGTATGGAAATGCATGATTTTTCAATTACAGGATGTTAAAACTTTTTAAAATTAGCTTTTCTGTAATCTTAAATACCATTATTTCTTTATTTGAAATTGCTTTAGGTTGGATTAATAGTAATAATAAATAATAGTAAAATTTAATAATAAATTAGGTAAAATATATAATTTATTCATTTTACTTTAATTTTATTAAATGTGATTAATGTTAATTCCTTTAATTTGATTTATTTTTTAATTTTATTAATTGTGATTAATACGACACTGGCATATTTATTACAAACCAATAATCAACGAGAATATCCTTGAATAAAACGAGAATAAAATTAAATTATAAGAAATAAAATTGTAAATCAATAAAAATAATGAATTATTTGTAATTGAGCAGTAATATCTGTATTATTAATCCGGTAAATGATGGAGATAAACAATTGTGATTGATTAAAATTTTATTTTAAGATGAAATCTTCGTTAACAACATTCTGAGAATTCGAATAATGAATTGAATAATGACAAGACAAGTGACATCTGTGTAAAAAAGACAGCGATTTAGAGTGACAATTTGGTTATGTCAAATTTACAGTGACAATTTTGATTATGCAAAAGAAATGCATATTCTATGAGATAACTGGTTGCCTAACGATTAACATTAATTTAAAAATAAATCAACATTTAAACAAAAACAGGCCACAGACCACACAAAACAAATTGTTGGTTAGTAGCAGTTCTTATTCATAGTAGCAGTTAGTAGTAGTAGATATATAGATGTAGAGAACTGTCATTTTTTGAATTCGTCAAAATTTTGGGTCGCGAAATTATTTTGGGTCGCGACCGTTATACGCGATCTGGCGCTGCTATAGCGGTCGCTAAGAACAACGGCAAACAAAAACAGAAATAATTTTCTCTTGTCAAAGTCAGAATCTTCAAAAATCATAATAATTGTTCAAAATCTAAACCACTCTCATTAAAGAAATTCCGAAAAGTGTTTATAGCGTTCATTTTCAAAGTAATTATTGCTATCTTGTGAGTTTAATTCAAGTTTTATTTACTTCAACCGGTGATAATTGTGAAAAAGTGGCATTGAAAACTTAAAAAGCTGTGCTGTTAACTGCAAAAACCATCGTGGATCGTGGCATAACGTCGGTTTCCAATTTTTCATAGGTATTTCATATATGCGTCCTTATATAAAATAAAGTTTCTTGTATGCAACACACTGTATTTTATTTATAAATAAACGAACGAAAATAATAATAAATTTGAATAAACAATATTTGGCGATATAATTCCGGAAAAAGCCGAACCGCTCCGAAATTTTCAAAAGTTTTGGGTTGCGACTTTGTATCATGGGTCGCGACCGTTGCAAGAATAGCGCCAAATAGTGTTTAAATTGTCCTTATGGGCACTTTCTAATTTAAACTTGTTTCATTTATCTATGGCTGTTAGTAAGAAGTTTAACTTCAAATATGCGCACATAGTGCTCACACAATTTTTATTTTTAAGACCATTTTTTCTACAAAACACATATATCATCGCATTGGCTCGACGTATAATAAACTCATAAATATTTCCGGACTCTACTTACTTGGAAACAAACATTTATTTAGTTAATACCGAAACACATCTACCGAGCAGCGGCAAGATTTATAAGCTTACCGTATTTAATACCGGCGAAATCGTAAGAAACCGCACGTAGAAGACGGATCTTTCTACGGTAAATCGCAATTTTGAACAGGTTTCAAGCGTGTGTAAGACGATCGTATCGGATTAAGCTAGGCGAAGCCTTTAAAAATACATGAAAGTTGAGGTGAATTGAGAAAAATACGCTTCATTTTATTCACTTAGAATTTCTTTAAACATGCTTTTCTTTAACGAGTTTTGTAAAGTGTTATCGTATACATTGATTTACTTTTCTAATAAATTTCTTCATATTGAATTGTTCAGTTCTTTGAGAGTGAACAATCTTATATCCAGGTTGAGCCTTAAATAAATGCAAATATTTTCAGGACTAGTTGATCTCGATGAAAGAATAGTATATTGTTTTATTAGGAGTAAAAATGACATTTTTTGTGGCAATGCCATACAGCCGAGGCACAACAAGTCATTTTTACTTCGAACAGAATATTCTATTTTTTTTTCAAACGGCACAGATAATTTTTTTAAAATTTCAAATGTTCCAAACAATATAAAAAGATTTAAAACTCATACCTTGTATGTAATTATATATCTAGAAACCATGGTTACGACATATTTTCGTACTATTATGCTTAGGCGTAAAAGTGCTTTTCTTTACTTTTTTAGGCGTTAAAATTACTTTTTTATATTGTCAATCACGTCCCAAAAATTAATACTTTTGTGACGTTTGAAAAAAAAAACATATTTTCTCTTTACCGTTTTTCAAAAAAGTCCAAAATAACCGAGATATTTTACTTCAAAAATTTCTCAAAAAATGATTTTTTGCTTACATTTTGAGAACCAACATTTGTTTTTTTTTCTTATAAATATAATCTACTACATATATTATGTTGCCATATTATTAAGATAATATTTTTTAACTAAAAATTAAAAAATCCCTAAACTTTAAAAAAAATCCAATTTTCAAAAAAAATGTCGAGGGAAAAAACCCGTAGACGTGTTTCTGGGATCAAAATATAATAAATAATAGCTCCCGTATATAGCGTTTAACGCCTTGGGAGTAGCAAGGTACAGCTCGCCATGCTACAGCCGTTCGGTATACAAGGAAGGTAATGTGGCTAGCACTACGCTTCAACCGCCTATTATTACCTCAGGATGCCCAAACTATTTTTATTTTATTAAAAATAGTCTGCTGATGAACTGCTGGCTGTAGGAATCGAACCCACAACCTTTTATTTGGTAGACGAGAGCTGTACTTCTACGCCGCCGGGCACCTTTGGTCAAAATGTACTACCCCTAAAAATATTTGCACTTATTTAAGACTCGCCCTGTATTTTGTATTTGGGGTTTTAAAGATAAACTTACCTAGAAAAATAGTTTTCTAAAAAGCAGTTTTAAAATATATAACTAGGTAGCTCCTTTACAATAATTCTTTAGAAGTTGACAATATCCAATTGTAAGCTTACTACACGAACAAAGACCCGTAGATAAAATCTCAGAATGTAATAATATAAAGACGATATAAGACATAAAGTATCCATAACAACTGAAATCCATAAAATAAAATCAGATTTGCTCTTCTTCCGTGATATTATTGGAATTTTATTTCGCTTTTATTGTTGCTAGCAATGGGTAAGTGAATTAGAAAACGGTCCTGATATGCAGGAAAATTATGAAAATATTTTTTTGCACAATCCTCTTGGAAAGTAGATACATGGTGTATCAATAATTTGGGCACCTAGAACTAGTACGTATTTTAGGAATAGAAATAAGTTAATTGAACACAATTTGCCTCTATATAAAAGTCCTTTGTCCGTTAGGAGAAAATAATAAAACATAAATCTAATGGCATTGACATAAAATTCCATATTTGCATCAACTAGATTCTTATAGTCTACTAATTGTATCCCTTGATGTGACAAGAAATGTTTTTTGTCGGTCAGCTTCGAGAAAGGGCTTCTTTTTTCATAAACAATACGAATTGTAGTTTTTTTACAAGAGAAAAAATGTAGTCAAAAAGGATCTTTAAAAAAAATCAGTCGCGTCTATCAACTTACTTACTTCCCCCCCCCCCCTCAGAATGATAAACCGTTTCTTAAAAAATAGGTCAAGTGCGAGTCGGACTGGTGCACGAAGGGTTCCGTACCATTTATTGGGTTTTATGAATAAAAGTTAAGCAAATGATTTTACTTAAATTACTTGAAATAGACTTATACAATTTGTAAACAACCAACAAAGATAGTTCTATAGAAAAAGCAATAAAGCAATTGGTTCTCTTTATTCATCAGGCCTATTATCTATATAACATCAGACACTATATTATTATAAACTTTTTTTCCGATTTAACTGAAATGTTGAATGCGCGTATAAAGTAATTTAAAAAAAAATGAAGAAACACATTACTAAAAGTTGTATTAATCAATAATAAATATGTAAAAAGTAAAAATAAATATGTAAAAATATGTAAAAATTAAAAAAAAAGGATTAAAAAAAAGTCGGCTTGACTAGGATTCGAACCTGCCTTACTACGGCTCCAACGTCATAGCAGCGTAAAGTCCTAATGCTTTAACAACTCGGCCACCCAAGACTTGAAAGATTCTATGTAAAATTCTTACTTAAAAGATAATGTTTAGTGACAGTACTTTTTTACTTATAAACATTTATTTAATTCTGTTTTTAGTATTTGTTCTTATAGCGGCAACATAGATACATTATCTGTAAAAATTTCAACTGTCTAGCTATAACGGTTCATAA